ATCGAAAGCCTCTGTCCGCAAGGCAGTTTACAGCATGCGTGGAATCAACCAATGGCCAGAAAAGATTGTATAAACGCACGAAACCTACAATCTTCTGCGCAGTCGGCTCGAATTCAGTCTTTTTGATTATTTCATTGGCCGACTCCGTAAAATGATAGAAACGCCAATTAAGGGAGACCGCAAGAACCACTAAAATGAAATGGAGGTTCTCAATCGTCGGCAACACTCAAAAACCCTACGAGATTCTTCGGCAACTCAACGAAAGACCCCTTAAGTGACTGCTTATGTGTTTCGTAATTAGTACCGTGAGGAAGGGTTCTCGACAGAGTCGAAAACGTCAGGCATATAAACTTCCTGTTCCAGCGATCATCACGTTTTCTGCTTTTTAACTGCTTCCTGAAACACGCCCGTTCGCTTCTATCAGCAATTCGCAAATGTCTAAAATAGGGTCGTCATATTAATTACTGTGCAGCCTAATACCGAGATAAGTCAGTCCCACCAGGGTTCAGCCTTTTGTACGATTTCTAATACAAGCGAACATGCGAGTCCAAGGAAGTAATTGAGAAGATGATGACTCGATCGCTGGGAGAATACTGTCCCAGTATAAAAGCCCTACTTTAGCACTATATTTTTTTTTCAATCTAAAACACACTTCAGAATTTCTGTTAAGATTTCATGAGCCAACACATCTACCTTACATGTGGAAGGGTGGGGGGCAGATTATGTACGTAGGTGGATTGTTTAGTTCAAACAGCCACCGCCACCGTCATCGGAGCACGGAAAGTATGGGACGAGGGTGTGGGATTCACTATAAACAATTTCAGTTGGTCAGTCACACTGTGAAGTAGGTGGACGCCGTAACCGGTGACAGTCAAAATATCATGGTGTAAGGTGGCCATCTGGTTGACTGGATAGAACAGGAAGAACTACTGATTTCAAAGGCAGAGATGTGCAAAGATAGGCTACTAACCAGCGCGATCAACCATTGCTCGAAGGCAGAGTTCGTAGCGTTCAATCACTCCCTTCATGCCCAAGAGACGCTCCCTCCGTAAGCACTCCAAATGAGGATTAGACTGTAATTTAAAAAACGAAACACTTTGAAGGAATTGAGGAGAAATGCTTACACTTTTACAGCTGCTTTGAATGTCATGTAGGGGGCGAGACAGACTTTGAGAGCAAAAAATTTACATGCAGTAGTAAGTAACTATTCCCCGGAATCGCTGTTTAACTTCGTGACCGACAACCGACAGTGAGCAAACAAGCAGGAGACATGCAATAGACAGTGTTAAACCAAGCGCACGCCTACCCCAGCGAGAGAGATGACAGGGGATGTCCCAATCTCGGTCTCAGTTATATGCGCAAGGGTTCTGGAAGATTAATTATTGACAGTTGTTATATAAGTGCACAGTAAAACTGTGTGCATTCACTATATTAGTGTTAATAAATCTACGCTTTATTTTAAAAAAAAACAGCGATACCGCTTCCGGTCTTCTTGACTCTATCTTGACACTGAGCACAGGTGGGTGAGGGAAGAGAGAGCGCGGTAGATGCTTCACAAGTCTACTTTGATTATGATCCAGCGCAAGTCACTTTCCCTGTTGCGGAGCATAGGGTGGACATCGTCGAAGTCGAAGGTTGAACTGTCAGTGTTAATAAAGTACCGATAAAGAAGACGAAGAAACCCCATCCTATATGTGGATACGTCAGTTTGAAATATTCATCGGACTGGAAAAGTTGAGCTTCCCCGTCTTGTAGGCTAGAATCTCCTCGGAGAAATCATTCCCCAGTTGGCAATAATGCTGCAGCGAAACTCCGTATCTGTGAGTCTTCCAGTTGCAATAAGTACTCCGCCTGTGGGGCTACTTACTTGCTTAATTTATTACCACTTCCGATCCTCAGTGTCTCGGGCAAAAACATGCTACCACTCGCAACTCCATGGGAAGTCCCAAGGAGATAAAATTGCTGATAGAAGCGAACAGGCAATGCAATTCAGCAAAAAAAGCGATCGCTTGAATATAGCGCCTATTGACCTGAGCTTTCAAATTCTCGGTCGAATCCATCTTCATAGATAGTCACAGATAACAGTGATGACAGCGTAAGTAAAAACTGTCAAAATTTGTCACACACAATAAACTATAAGAAAGTAAGAGATGTAAGTAAATTTCTGGTTTTTTTATAGCGCTCGATTTTGTTGCGAAAACATTAGCCTATTTAAATAGTTTCTGAGACCGAAACTAGTATTCCACCCGACTTTTAATGCATGATGAAAGGGAACATACATAGTACATTGCAGTTTGGGGGTTCAGGCTAGTGCAATAATGATATTGATAGAATTCGGGGTTCGGTGCCAACGACCAATGTCCTCTTCTT